CTGACTTTTCCCCATCCCGGCATGGCATGCAGACCCCTTTGCAGTGCTGACTCTGCAGTTCCTGCCATTGAGAGCCGGGTCCTGTTTTTCCATCACCGGAAGCCAGCGCGTGCCTTACTTCAACCAAGGAGACGTTAGCCAGTGTGCTGCGAGCAAAGACTTAAAGAGGGTGTGTCCCCCGGTTCTCCTGCTGCTGTGAGAGCCGGGGAACCGTGTGAACAAGCTCAGACCAGCCCGTGGGAAACACGAGGAAGACCTGGCCACGGCACCTGGTGTTCCAGCCCACGCTGAGCCAACTGCCAGGCGTGAGAGTGAGGGAAGGTGTGGCCGACCTTCCGTTCCAGGTGAGCCGGTCCAGACCAGGACACGGCTCAGCCGATTCCCAGAGCCTGGAGCAAGCGGACGGGTGCTGGAGGGGCGGGCATCGTGGGGGCTGCTGGGACCAGCTGCGCCCGAGGTCAGTACCCACGGACCCTTGTGGGCCATTGCTGGAAGCCGCCCACTGAGAGGTGTGGACAGGGAACCCGGGAGGCTGGTCAGCCTTGGAGTTCCGGAAGGTCAGAGCCAACCACCCACTGTCTAGTTGAGACAATGACAGCTAAAGCAACCTCCACCCTTTAGTCTTACGTAAATCCCTGCTGATTGGCTATTACTAGAGCTATGGGTGGATCCCAAAATCTTAATAAAAGGGATTGCAAGGCCAGAGCAAGGCGAAGTCTTCCCCCTTGAGTTGGGCTCCCGCCTGGCCCCCAGTATTTCCAAATTAACATTTTCTAGTCTCTTTCATTTGTGTGCGCGGCCTCCTCCAGAGCCCGGACCCTGAACCTGAACCCGGAACCACGCGGGACGTGAAAGGGGTTCACTACACGACAGGTCGTTAGGTCCTCCTTGGTTTTGGTTAAACTAAATTGAATCTGGTCCCTGTCACTTGGCACAAAAAGGGCCCTTGATGGCCCAAGGTTGAATAGATTGTGCAAGCCAATGGGTGAGAATGATGAAGACATTGACCGGTGAATGGCTGGTCGGCGTGGCCCTGGCGTCCAGGCTGGATGGAAAAGGAAATGACATCAGAATGGAGTGGAAAGGTGAGCGTCAGCAGTTCAAGGTGCTTCCTCCTGGAAACTGTAGGATTTCCCTCTCGGGATCCGCTCTTGGAACTGGGTCACGCCCAGTGGCTCCTCCTGATCCCCCTCGGAGACGCTGAGCTCAGGTTGCCTCCCATCAGCCCGTTTTCCACAGGCTCCCAGAGGCCGCCGAGCTGCGAACACGCTCCTGCTTAAAGGTAGGCAAACTAGGGAGACCCGTCCCTGACCATCATCCGAATTGGTCATGTATTTAGGCAAGGCGAAGCTCGGCTGGGCCCTGGCTGGTTTGGCTCAGTGGATAGAGCATCGGCCTGCGGACTGAAGGGTCCCGGGTTCGGTTCCAGTCAAGGACATATGCCAATCAAGCAGGAGGCAGCCGATCAGTGATTCTCTCTCATTGTTGTTGTTTCTATCTCTCTCTCCCTCTCACTTCCTCTCTGAAATCAATATATATATATATATATATATATGATGGGCTCATGGATCACAGGAGCTTTTTTTTTTTATCTTCCCTGGGTGCCAGGGAAGAAAGCTGCATCCAGTCTTAAGTTTACTCAAAGGACAGAAACTTCCTATGATTATTAGGTTTATTTCTAATAAATGCAATATTTGATTCTTCGTTAGTTTATTTCCCCCCTCCAATTTTGTTACAAATTTGGGTGCAGCATAGAGCAGTATGATATTTATTATACATCCTTAAATTCCAAATAAAATGGATTTCAGAATTAAGTAGTGAAAAGAATAAGTAAATGGCCCTAGCTGGATTGGCTCAGTGGATAGAGCGTCCGCTTGCAGACTGAAGGGTCTCGGGTTCAATTCCAGTCAAGGGCACGTGCCCGGGTTGCCTGCTCGATCCTATCCATGATTCATTGTTGAGGTTTCTATCTCTCCCTCTCCCTTCCTCTCTGAAATCAATAAAAATATATATCTTAAAAGATGACTCAAAAAAAAAAAAAAAGGAATAAGCAAATGTAACACTCTGTTGCCCATTCATCACATTTACGACATTTATCAAATTCAACGCGAGGACCGAGATCCCAAGGAGCAATACAGGAGACACACTGGTTCCGGTAAGCGCGGCCGGGGGTGGCACAGACAGGCAGTTACGTCAGGGCACTCCGGCTCCTCTGGTTGGGAAAGGGGATCTGCTGGGCAGTACATCTCGCGTGGGGGTTTGGGCCACGTGGACACCCCACTGCAAGTGGCCTGGAGTCTAGGGGTGAGGTTTGCACCTCCTTCCCAAGGTCGCAGCTCAGTGGTGGTTTGGAAGCCCGGGACCAATAGGATCCCATCTCTACGGTGAGCCTGGCAGTGTGTGAGGGCACAGGGAGTGGCAGAGCCGGAGGAGGGAGGTGTTGCGACCACCTGCGGGTGGTGAGGAGGAAGCAGAAGGCTGAAGGTGGGGAACAGGAGACACAGGAGACACTTGGAGACCAGGGAGAGTTTGGTCAGGGTGGGGGGCAGAGACAGGAGGGAAACCCAGGCTGAGCTGCTTGGGAGCCCCCGTGCTGCTCCCCCTCGCCCGCCCGCCCGGGGCACAGCTTTGTGCGAACAGAGGCTCTGGCGGGGTGGGGTGGGCCTCGCTGAGAGGTTCCTCAGGAGCTGGGGTGTGATGGAATGCAGACGGGGAGGGGCGGACAGAAGCCACAGGCATGCCCTGGGCCCAGTGCCAGCGAGGGGCGCGCTCCTAGCCAGGTGGCAGTGCCTTGCTCTGCCTCCTCGCCCAGCTGCCAGCCTCGGAGGGGATCCGCTCTGACACAGGTGAGGAGGCCTGCAGACACATCCGCCTTCGCGGGCCACCCCACCTGCCAGGGTGGGAGACCCAGTCCCGGGCACCCCCTCACCGACACCGTGGCTCTCAAACTTCACCCCACGGTCACCCTGCCGCACGGGTGGTCCAGACACACTTTGAGAAACACTGATGCAGGTTCTCACAACTCTATGGGGTGGGTTGCTTGTTATTGTCCCCATTTTTCTGGGGGAGAGACCGAGGCTGGAGGGAACCTAAAAAAAAATGTCCAAGGTCACAGGTTATAAGTAGCCACCTCAGGCCTTGCTGACGACAGGATCTAGGGTGGGCGTGAGTAGGAGAATGTGATAAGGCACCCCCCACCTTCACCCCGCTTTATCTGCCCAGATACCCCTGCCTTCCAGACCCACCCCCATCCCGGGCGGTTACCTTTCAAACTGGCCAACCAGGTTCCTGGCTTCACTAAAACTTTCCTTAGTGAGGCATCCCAGGGGCCTTAATTCCTGGGAAGGAAGGACACAGGCCAGTGTGTGGACACAGGTCAGGGGGGCAGGGCCACCACAGAACTATTGCGGACCCTTCCTCCATAAAATAGATTTAAAAAATACTTTAGCCCTAGCTGGTTTGGCTCAGTGGATAGAGAGCATCAGCCTGTGGACGGAAGGGTCCCCGGTTCGATTCTGGTCAAGGGCACATGCCTGGGTTGTGAGCTTGACCCCCACCCAGTAGGGGGAGTGCAGGAGGCAGTCGGTCAATGGTTCTTTCTCATCATTGATGTTTCTAACTTTCTATCCCTCTCCCTTCTCTGTAAAAAAATAATAATTCCCCCCCCAAAAAAAATTATACTTTAGAACTGCATTGATATGAAGATGAATATATCAGTATTATATACTAAAAGATTTGTCTTTCACCTAAAAGTTCATCTATTTCTTTTGGTGTTAAATCACTTTTGTGGGCCTCTGTGCTAGCAAAAAAGTGGCCCCTAAAGATGTCTCGCTCTTTCTGGCCCCTCAGTGGCAAAAAGGAATCACGATTGCAGATGGAATTACTCCTAAGATTGCCTTCATCTGCTTTCAAAGAAGGAGGTGATCCGGATCATCGGGGCGGCCCGATGTCATCACAAGGGTCTTTCCTTGGAGGATGGAGAGACACAGGCAGAGGAGTGGCGCATCGTCAGAAGCTGGAAAAGTGAGGAAGCAGACTCCCACCAAAGCCCCAGAAAGGAATGCACCAGCCGACACCTTGAACTCGGCCCATTGAGACCGTGTGGACTTCTGACCTCCAGAACTGTCAATGAATTTGTGTGAGTTTGTGGTAATTGTCGTAGCAGCAGAGACTTATACACTTGAGTGGCCAGATTATTTTGATCTCTGAACGCCTAATAATCTGGCCACTCAGTAGTGTATATCCTATGTAATAAAAGGCTAATATGCAGATTGTCCCCTCCACCAGGAGTTTGACCAACAGGCAGGCAGGCCAACTGCCCATGTCCCCTCCCTCTGGCCAGGCTGGCTGGACCCCACCCATGCATGATTTTATGCACCGGGCCTCTAATATATATATATATGATATATATATATCACATATATACATATATACATATACATACATACTAAGTGGCCAGATTATTATGCGTTCAGAGATCATAATAATCTGGCCACTCAGTGTATAGGTCTCTAAAAGCATGGTGGGTGGTCCTAACCGGTTTGGCTCAGTGGATAGAGCATTGGTCTGCCGACTGAAAGGTCCCAGGTTCGATTCTGGTCAAGGGCATGTACCTTGGTTGTGGGCACATCTCCTGTGGGGTGTGTGCAGGAGGGCAACTGATTGATGTTTCTGGCTCTCTATCCCTCTCTCTTCCTCTCTAAAAAATCAATATTTTAAAAAAATAAAATAAAAAGTATGGTGGGTGGCCTGGGCCTCCTTTCCTGACGGATGGTGGACCCTGGATATTCCGGGCGCGTATCCGTGCTGCACAACGTGCTTAACTTGTGGGCGCTGTGAAATAGGGACTTCTTGTCCCCTCGCCCCCATCCATTCCAAGGCCAGAGAAGTGAAGCAAGCCCGCGGCGAGCAGCCAGAACCCGGGAGGGCCGCGGTCACGAGCCTGGAGGCCACCAGGGGGCAGCAGAGGCCTGTCCCCCGCGCCCCCCCCCCATCCTCCCGCCCTGGCCAGACTGCGCCTGCGCGACGCCCGCGGCGCCGGGGCACGGGAAGTGGGCGGGGCCGGCCGGCGCGGCTCGCGGAACGGAGCGCCGGGCGGGCGGCTGAGTGGCAGGTGAGGCCCGCGGGGACGGGGGCGCGGGAGCCCGGGGCGCGGGGCTGGGGGGAGGCTCCGGTGGGGGGGAGGGGTCTAATGGTGCAGGGGTGAAGTGGGAGGCCGAGGTAGAGACTCCAAAGGGTCGGGGGGCCGAGTGGGGGGCTGAGGAGCCCGAGGCGGGGAATTGGGGGGGCGCTGGGGAGCCGAGGGTGCAGGGCGGCCTGGCGGGGGTGTGGCCGGGCCAGGGCCAGGTGGGGACCGAGGGCCAAGGAAGAATGGGGGTTGCTGCTGAGGGGTGAGCCGCCGCGGGTTGTCGGTTTGTCCGGAGAGCGGCCCCTCCCCACCTCGCCGCCCCACTCTGGGGCGCTGGGGCCGCGCCCCCTGCCCACACCCCTGTCTCCCCGGCCCCTGCGCCTCTGCCCTGGCGCCCGCACCCCTGGCCTGCCGCCGCCCTCGGGGCTCCCTCCCCTCCCCCAGGTGTGCCTCCGGGGCTTTCCTGGAAGCCGGGGACTGGGCTGCAGCAGCGTCAGCGGGACACGTGTGAGAGGCAGCAGGGGAGCCGCCCCTGCAGCTGTGCGACCTCAGGCGAGCCCCTCGGCCTCTCTGTGCAGGAGGGAGAGGTGGCACCCTCCTGGGTTCTGGCTGCTCTGGTTGGGGTTTCAGTGCAGGGCCTGGCAGGGTGGGGCCCAGTGGATGGACTCTTCCCCCCATAATCCCCCCTCCCCCCCCAGCCAGGCACACATCCTGAGTGACCCACGTCCTCATGGCATTCCCCGGGGCCCCGTCTTTGGGTGGAGCCCCCCCATAATACCCCCTCCCCCCCAGCCAGGCACACATCCTGAGTGACCCACGTCCTCATGGCATTCCCCGGGCCCCTTCTTTGGGTGGAGCTGTGCTCCCAGCTGTGCTCCCACTTGGCTAGAGTCACTCTGAGGGCTGGCACTCACTCTGAGGCCATCGCGCGCTCCCTCCTGGCCTTTATGCTGTCAGGTTTCACTCTCCTCCTGCAGCCCAGGTGGAGCTAGAATAAGGAATAAGGGCATCTTTGATCCCAGGGACCTCAGGGGGCTGTGCACAGTCCCTGAGCCTGTTTCTTCGCAGGCCACGTGGCCGAACGGCTTGTGCTTTCTGCTTAGCGGTCAGAGGTAAACAAACAGAGGCCGCTGTGAAAGCAATCAGCCTCCACACAAGTTCCTTCAGAGAATTCCTCTGAGATCCCGCCGATGCCAGCCCTGCCGTAAAAGCCTTTCTCCGCTGCCCGCCGTGTCTGTGTCCCACGGAGGGTTTAGCTTTCTCTGCGAAGGTTCCGGGCCTCAGGCCGCACCTTGCAGCCCACTCCACCCACTGGTGGTGGCAGGAAGCAGGCCCCTCCCGCCGCCATCACACCTGCGGGCTGCCCGGGGTGCACAGAGCAGTGTTAGCCCCCGAAGGGGCAGGGTGGGCTTCCTGACCTCGGGGAGCTTACGATCTAGTGAGGAGGCCAAGCCTGTGAAAGTGGCGGTTGCTCAACAATGCCACAAAACTTCCCGTAAAAACGGGTAGAATGGCCAGTTATATGTTTTACCACAAAATTTATATATGTATATATACAAATTACATATATTTATGTATATATACACTATGTGTGTGTGTCTGTGATCTATATGAAAAGATCTGGATGCATTTACAAACTCTGCCAATAATTTGTCAGAAGTAAAGAAAGAAGATTCTCTTTTTGCAGAAATATTTTAAACAATGAACACCGTCGTTTTGTAACCGTGATGCAATTCCCCTTTCTGAAGATTGCTATCTTTTTTTCCCACCCACAAGGTTTCTGAAGTCAAGCAGGACTCAACAAGTATTTTGTCCAGACCTAAAAAAATTGCAGTTGTACAAATAAGTGTTCGTTGAGCTTCTGAGTTAAAACGAGTGAACTAGAGGAGAGTCGGTATTTTAAATGGGGGGAAAACAGACTTTTTACAAGCCAGCTGCCAGCAAGCGTGTTCTGGAGCCACAGAAGGCAGAGGGCCGGGCCTCGGTGGTGTTTGGGTTAGAGAGGTCTCGCCGCCCTCCAGCCAGGCCCCGGAGCATGGAGGCGAGGGCGGGGCCTGCGCCAGGGGCACAGAGATGGAGAATGGGCCATGAGAGAGGCTGAGTCGGGGCTACTGGCCGAGGCAGGATGGGCGGGGTTTCCGTTGCACTTGGGGCCACTGGTCACGAACCCCATGGGGGGACATTGGGCAAGTTAGTTGGCCTCATGCTGCAGCCCCCGCCGGTATACAGCAGGGACAGCAGGGTGTTGGGAGGTGATGCACCTGTGGGCAGATGTTAGCTGGCAGCAAGGTCACTTGGTCACTCGGTGCAGGAGCCAGCTTTAGCCGGACTGTTTGAGGCAGGTGGCTCTGGGGACTGGAGGCTCTGTATCCTTCCATGCTCACCCTGGATCTTTGGTGACTTACACACACCCATGAACATCCCTGCACCAGCCTCAGTGCCGCCTCACCCTGCGCTGCCTGGGCCTGCGCCTGGGCCTGCGTGGTTCCGGAGACTGTCTCCTCAGTTGGTCCCCTGAGAGCTCAGGGCCACAGCATCGTCCTCCTGGCCTTCCCAGGGCCACCTCTGGGTCCCCCTTTGGGTTAGGAGTTCCTTGACACCCGGCCCCTCACTCCCCCCCCCCCTCCCCTCTTCATCCTTTATCTCTAGGCCCCAGGCTCCCAAAGGCTGGGGTTGTTTTGCTCATATCCATGTGACTCCAGCACGGAGCAGGGAGTTTGTTGAAAAAAGGAAGGGCCGGGAAGGAAATTACTCGTGTGTCACAAACCAGCTGGGCCCCAGAGAACGGAAACGGTGTCCTGGTTCCTCTCCTTGCGTCTCGCCTCCTGCGGGGGATGCAGACACAGCAGGCAGGGTGGCAGGCCTCAGAGTAAGCCAGCCCGCACCCCGGGCTGCAGGCCAACCCCGTCGAACCTGTGCTGCCTCGCCCTCTGGATCCTCCCCCACCCCTCAGGCTGCTGTCCAGGCCCACACCGGACCCTGGAGGTGGGGCACTGGGCACAGGGCACACGACCGCAGCCCCCTGTTGGTGAGCAGGGCTGAGGCAGAGACCAGGTCTGCAGGACTGCGGTGCAGAGAGACGGGCCCCTGGAGCCCCAAGGGAAACGGGTTCTCGGGAGGGGAGAGGGTTCCTGGCATAGAAAACAGTGCCCCGAGGCCAGGAGGCTCCCACATTACCGAACGTCCAGCAGCGCCACCACCAGCGAGTGAGGTCGAACTCTGTCCTTCATGCTGGGGACCAGGGCTCTCCAATAGGGGCCCTCTGTGCCTCCTGGGAGGTCAGTGAGGACGCTGCCTCGTTGTTCGGATCCTGCGGAGTATTTGTTCCTGGGCTCAGCCTTTCCCAGCCTGACCCGGGACCCGCGGTGCTGCTTGGGGCAGCTTGGCCTTACACTTATTTCTCTTCTCTAAGCAACAGGAGGCTAGAACTTTCTGCCCGAAGGTGGCCAAGCCTGCTGGGAAATGCTTGCTGTCGTCATCGGCCTGATTCTCGTATCTGTGGCCCTGGCGGGGGCCCTGGCTGGCCGTCCTCCTCCCAGGCTGACCCTCACCACCCCGCTTTCCTGACCCCAGACTTTCCTGACCTCCCCGTTTCACAGTCTTACCCTGGTGGTTGCAATGCAGCGGTCTCCCTTCGCTAGTTTACACTCTTGAGCTTTTAACCCTTTGCCTTTGTAACCTGGGGTTGCACTGTATCCGCTTCTACTAATGAGTAGATGGAAGGATAACGATGAACTTAAGTCTGTCCCCATGTCCTATCACACGTGGCCCCAATTCTACATTATTTCTTTCTTTCTTTTAATGTATTTATTGACTTTCTACAGAGCTGAAAGGAGAGGGATAGAGAGAAACATTGATGAGAGAGAAACATCAATCAGCTGCCTACTGCACACCCCTTTACTGGGGATGTGCCTGCAACCAAGGTGCATGCCCTTGACCGGAATCGAACTTGGGACCCTTCAATCTGCAGGCCGACGGTCTATCCACTGAGCCAAACCGGTTAGGGCTCTACATTATTTCTGTGTGTCTGCTTTTAAAAATTAACTCTTGCCCAGGCTGCTGTGAGTGTCGCCCCGTGCACTGACAGGTAGCAGGTTCAATTCCCGGTCAGGGTACATACCAGGGGTGTGGGTTCAGTCCCTGGTTGGGCGTGTGGTAGGAGTCAACCAATCGATGCTTCTCTCTCACATCAATGTCTCTCTCTCTCTCTCAAAATTAATACATTAAAAAGAAGAAGAAGAAGAAATACTATTTTTCTGGGGGATAAATTTGTGGAATTCATTCCCAGAGAAAGTCTCCCAGCCTGGATGCTAAGGAGAGGAAGAGAGCAAGGGGCAAGAGTGAGGAGCCAGCCTGTAGGAGCAGGTGGCGGTGGGAGGTGCCTACCCAGGTGTGCGTGTTGTGAAGGGAGGGGCACAGGCCGTCCCTGGGGGCAGGGGATGGAGACCTATGGGACTGTTTGGTCCTGGAGGGGCTGTGAGTAGGAGGCGGGAGTCCAGTGGACCCTTGGGGCCATGGGTTGTCTGACAGACAGGGCCTCTGCTGGCATACAAACTGAGCCACACAGGCTGGGGGGAGGGGGGAGGGGCCGGGTTTGAGGTGGAGAGGGTGGCTCTCAGCTGGGGGAGAGGAGCCGGAGTCCCTCATTGGGGTGACAGATGGGGGTGAGTGACACCTTCCAGACGTGAGAGAAGTGGGGTGTGAGGGAAGGGAGGGATGATGAGCATGGGCTCCAGAATCCCCCCGTGACCCCATCCATCTATTCTCGGGCCAAGGTCTGCCCCTCCCCAAGCTTCAGGGTTCCCACCTGTGGAATGGCGGCTCGTCCTGGCTCCTGGGAGTGTGTCAGGGACTGCACGGCTGGAGCCGGGAAGCCCTCTGCCTTCCTGAGGTGCTGGGAGGAGGGCCCTGGCGGCTGGAGCTGTGCCCGGGACAGGCGGTCGGTGGCCTGTGCCTGCCTGCCAGCCGATGGAGAGAACTTACTAGGGTGCCCACATCCCAGACTCCCCTGATTGTCCCTGGTTAATCCTCTCTTCCCTCCTGCCACGCCCTTGGGCACCCCACAGCCTAGTGCCTTCTGGAGCAGCCCAGGGCCAGCTCTCTCCGGCATGTGGGCTCTGCCACCACCCTGTCGGGGCCCTTTCCTTCCTTCCCAACAGGTGACCCTTCACCCCCCCTCTGGGTACCACTTTCAGGCCCATAGACCTGCTTCTATCACTTCCTCACCTCCCAGATGCCCAGGGCCCTAAGGTCAGGTTGGACCCTCTCACCTGCCACATTGACCTGCCTCAGGGACCTGGTCCCAGTTCCCTCTCCTGCCCACCACTGGCCATGCTGGCCATCTCCGCCAGTAACGCAGCCTGCTTAGGACATCCATGCAGTTGCTGCTCCGGGCTCCCTCCCCCGAGGCCGCTTTCCGCATCCCTCTCAGATCAGACCAGCCTGGGTTGTGCCTCCGGCTTACTTGGGCCCCCTGAGCTGGGTGGGAAACTGGGTGGCCCTGCCCTTCCGCCCTGAGCCCCGGGCATGGTGTGACACCTGCTGTCTGACGCCCGGAGGTGCCGGAGACCTGGCATCAGCACTGCGGGGCCCGAAGACCCCCCCAGCAGGGCACCAAGTGCTTCCTGTTCTTGCTGACCCTCCTGTCTCTCCCCAGAGTGAAGCCTGCCTGGAACCCTGGCCACAGGCCCCCGGGATGCGCTGGGCATGGCCTCTGGAGCCCCAGAGCAGAGCGGCCAGATGGCAGAGGAGACCCCCGGCTTCCTGGACGAGTTTCTCCACGACTTCCCGGCCCCGCTGAGCGCGGAGGGCACTTTGCCGTGGAAAGTCCCGGGGACGGTGCTGAGCCCGGAGGAGGTGGAGGGCGAGCTGGCCGAGCTGGCCGTGGGCTTCCTGAGCAGCAGGTAGGCCGCGCACCCACCCACCGGGCGGGGACAGCGTGGGACAGGAGGGAGGGGCATGGCACGGCCTTGAACCTGGCATTGCCCCCGCACATCCTTCCCTGGGCGAAACCCACGACAGCGCCGTGTTGGTCCGAGGGCAGCCGTGTCGGAGCACCGCGGGCTCCGTGGCCTAGAGCACACACATGTGCTGTCCCAGCTCTGGAGGCTGGAGGTGAGAGATCGTGTCAGCAGGGGATGCTCTCAGACAGGCTGTCAGCCAGGACCTGCTCCAGGCCCTTCTCGTGGCTCCTGTCCTTCGAGGGCCTCGCCTGGAGACACGCCGCTCCAGTCTGGCTCTCGTCGCCGCATGGCATCTTCCCGTGTGTCTGTCTTCACGCGGCGTCTCTCCCTGTCTCTCCCTGTCTCTCTGTGCGTCCCCTTCTTGTAAGGGTGCCAGTCCTACTGGATGTGGGGCCCACCCTGCCCCAGTCTGACCGGCAAAGACCCTGATTCCAAATAAGGTCACAGTGTGAGTCACCGCAGGTTGGGACTCCAGCATATCCTTCTGGAGGGCACGATTCAATTCGTGACAGGTGCTAAGCAGCAGGCCCTGTTTCTGTCCTGTGTTGCAGATGGGGAGACAGGCCAGACGGGCTAGGAGGCTGGCCGGGGCCTCCATGTTGAGGCAGGGCCTGGCCATGTGCCCTGCATGCAGGCCACGCTGCCCCACCGAGCAGCGTGGTGGTGTTTCCCCCGTCTCACAGGCGAGGAAGCCGAGCCACAGAAAGGGAGCACAGCCAGTTAGCAGATCTTGGGGGGGGGAACGGGGAGGATAGGGTGAGGCTTATGGCCTGTGACCCTCATTCTTCCTTGAGGGACCACACCCTAAGTCTCTGCATCACTCCTGAAATCAGGGCCCGGCCCTGGCCTCCATGTGCTTCCTGTGTGACAGGTCAGCTCCATTCCCCCCCACCCCAACCCGCCCCCCCAGTGAACTGCCCTCTCTGCTGTGCGGGAGCCTGGGTTGCTGAGCACAAAGGCCCCAGTTGTGGGCCGGCTTCCGGGCCACATCCATCCCAGCATCCCCCACGGTTGGCCCCACAGAGCTTAGGAGAGAAGGCCCAGCGACGTGTCCCTCGGGGTGGCGTGTGCAGAAGAGGTTGGCAGCGGGTTTGGCTTTGAGGAAACATTTTAGAGGCAGGTAGGGCGGAGCAGGCCTGGGACCTGAGGGTGCTGGACGGGTGCTCGGGCGGTGGGAGACGGGAGGGCTCCCAGAGGTCTGCCTCCCTCGGGGCCGGGAGCACAAAGGCAGGAGAGGGAGCCGCCAGGCGCAGCTGCGCACTCACAGGGGAGAACGGAAATGCAGGGGTGAGGAGGGCTGGGGTTGTGGGAAGAAAGGCACCTCTGCTGACCGGGCCGAGGAGAGCAAGAGGACTCCGCGTGCCAAGGACGACGTGCCCGTGGGGACAGAGAGGAACAGCTGGGCCTCTGGGACCCGGGGCGGGCACCAACCTGAATCGGGTCCCAGGTCAGGAAGGAGAGGCCTCCGAGAAGGGATGGGTGGGGCTGGTTTTGCTCCAGAGCAGTGGAGATGGCGGGGGGGTGGGGGGGGCGCGCGGGGGGTGAGGAAGAGGAGGGTGGCCGAGCAGGAGCAGGTGGCCGCCCTCCTGCCCAGAAAGGGGTCTGAGCTGGAGCAGTCAGGAGCTGACCACAGGCTCCGTGGGGCGCAGGGCCTTGGGGGAGCGAGTTTCCACGTCCTCAGGGTAAGTGTAGGGAACAGCAGGACTTACTTGAGGTGGAATGGGGCTTCTGGAGGCCCAGCAACAGGCCCTGGGCTCAGGCATTAAACGGGCACCCCGTTAATTAGCAGGATGACAGAGCAGGCCTGAGGCTGTTCAAGACAGAGAGGCCGGGGGGCTGGGAGGCTGCAGAGCACCTGAAAGTGTAATATTTTATTTATTATTTTTTTTAATGTATCCAACTTTTTAAAAATATAGTTCTATTGATTTCAGAGAGGAAGGGAGAGGGAGAGAGAGATAGGAACATCAGTGATGAGGAGAATCATTGATTGGCTGCCTCCTGCACACCCTGCTTTTGAGGATGGAACCCACAGCCCGGGCATGTGCCCTTGACCAGAATCAAACCCGGGACCCTTCCATCTACGGGCCGATCGACGCTCTATCCACTGAGCCAAACCAGCCAGGGCAAAGTGTAATATTTTAGTCATATATTTTCCAGCCATCTTAGTGGATTTATTTTTAGTTCTATTTGTCTTTTTCTAGTTGTTCTTTCCTACGTAAATGCAGATGTTGGCATGCCGTCTTCACTGCGTGATGTCAGGAGCGTCCCACCCGGGCTCCCGATCCTGGAGCTCGAGCTTGCGGGCCGGCGCTTGGGTGAAAGGGGCCCCGGGCACATTGGTCCATGAGTTTGTTCAGATTGTAAATGCTCTCTTTTACGACACTGACTGGAAGTCAGATCACTGAGGTCAAGGGTGTGACAATTTCTATCCTGTTGTGAGCAACTAGTTCCATGTTACATCTCAGGTCCCCAAGCGGGGTGCACCTTACACTGTATTATTTATGTGCCTTTTCATCTCTGCTGCCAAACTAGAAACTCCAGCCCTGACCCATTTGACTCAGTGGATAGAGCGTCGGCCTGCGGACTGAAGGGTCCCAAGTTCGATTCCGTCAAGGGCATGTACGTTGGTTGCGGGCACATATTCAGTGGGGGGGGGGGGGGGGTATGCAGGAAGCGGCTGATTGATGTTTCTTTCTCCTCAGTGTTTCTGACTTTCTATCCCTTTCTCTTCCTCTCTCTGTAAAATAAATAAATAAATAAATAAATAAATAAAATATATTTAAAAAATAATAATAAACTAGAAATTCCTTGAAGATAAGTGGGCGGGACTAGAGCGTTGGTTGGCTCCCTGGTCCTTGCACACACACACCTGTCCCTTCACTGCATCTTGTGTTCGCAGCCCGGACTGACTGGGGGCCTGAGAGCCTTGAGAGTGTGGGGGGCGGGGACAAGCAAGCCTGTGGCCCCCGGCCAGGCATTGTTTAGGTCCCCACGGCAGGAAGGAAGCTCGGTGGCCTCCTCAGCGGGACTTCAGAGGGCCTGCAGGAGGGCGCAGCTCGGGGGAGCAGCCGCCCCTTCTCCCTGCCCTGAAAGAGGAAAACCCGGCGGTGGGCAGGAAATCCCCAAATAGCAGAGGAACTCATTTCTCATGTCTTGACTGGTTGTTTTTCAAAGGCAGTGAGTGCCAGAGGCTCCTCCCCCTGAGCCACCCTCTCATTCATCCGGGTAGATTCCTGAAGTCATCTGTAGACATCACAGGTGCCCGGCCCCAAAGGCACATGACCCGTCCGCCAGGCTGTGGGAGGGCCTTGCCCTCGGGGTGAGGCCCCGTGTTGTCAGCCCAGCAGAGAACCACAGGCCGCCCGCCTGCCTGCCCTGGACCGGGTCCCCAGGCCTCAGGGAAAGGCACAGGGGGGTGAACACATGTCCTCCAGCCTGCAAGGGGCTCCCACTGGTGAGGAGGCAGATTCTGGGGTCAGGATATATTCTTTTTTTTTTTTTTTTTAATATATATTTTATTGAGTTTTTACAGAGAGGAAGGGAGTGGGAGAGAGAGCTAGAAACATCGATGAGAGAGAAACATCGACCAGCTGCCTCCTGCACACCTCCTAGCGGGGATATGCCCACAACCAATGCACACGCCCTTGACCAGAATCGAACCTGGGACTCTTCGACACTCTACCCACTGAGCCAAACCGGCCTCAGCAGGATATATTCTTTATTTTGTTTCGTTAATCCTCACCCGAGGGTGGTTGTTTTTCCCCCCGTTGATTTTTAGAGAGTGGAAGGGTGGGTGAGAGAGAGAGGAAGAGAGACACTGATATGAGAGAGAAACATCGATTGGCTGCCTCCTGCCTGTGGCCCCGCACATGGGGCCAGGGTATCGAACCTGCAATCACGGTGCGTGCCCTTGACTGGAATAGAACCCATGATCCTTCAGATCTTAGGCCGATGCTCTAACCATTGAGCAACCGGCTAGGGCAAGATATATTCTTAAGGCTGTGGGGTACCTGGGGTGGCGACCCCTGTGTCTGGGGGAGCCACGAAGGGCTTGCCAGGAACATGGTGTGGGAGGCTGGGCAGGCAGGCAGGCAGGCGTGGGAAAGGGTCTTGTGGCAGAATTCTCTAGTCCTTCCCCCCTGACCTCAGTCTCTTCATCCCCATGACTTCCTAGGAGCTGCCACTTACTCGTCCCTCTTCCTGAGCTCCAAGTCCCATCTCCTCCCTCCATTGGCTTTCCCGCTCCTGCCCACGCCCTCCCCACAGTTCTGATCTGGGGGGGGGGGCCTGGCTGGGATCGTGGCAGCACTCAGCAAGTCTTGCCTTCCAGAACTATTCCTCCGTGGCCCTGGGCAGCCACCTCTCCGGCTGTCCCGGCCCTCCAGCTGCTGTCTGCGCCGGCAAGGACCTTCACGCTCGATCCCGCACCCCCGTTCACTTGGAGGCCCCGTCTCCCGATCAGGCCTCCTGGCCTCAGCCGGACCTGAGACTCACTGTGGACGAGGGACCTGTCCAGTCCCCTCCTGTCCGCCGCCAGGTGCTGTTCCGCCAGGGCCTTGGCCTCCTCGCAGTGTTTACCCTCCGTCCACCCTGAGGGGGGAGGCCGGAGAGAGGCCCAGCCCATCAGGCACGTCCCTCTTCAAAGCTCACCGAGGTCATGGCTCCCCGTTTTTTGACACCTGCCCCCCTACCCCCAGCCGCCCCTTGTACCAGCTGCTCTGATGGGCCAGGGACCCCTTGGGCCATGCACCGCCCAGCCTTCTAAGCACAGCCCGAGGGTCCCACGGTCCTTTGTTTGTTGGTTTGTTTCCTGGGGTGGCCGTGATGAGGGACCACAGGCTTGGCGCCCCAACCAACAGTAATGTGTTGTCTCGGTTCTGGAGGCTTGAAGCCCAAGATCAAGGTGCCAGCAAGGCTGGTTCCTTCTGGTGGTTGTTGGCCGCCCTTGGCTTGTAGGTTCATCACTCCAGTCCCTGCTTTCATCCTCACAGCATTGTGTGTGTGTGTGTGTGTGTGTGTGTGTGTGTGTGTGTCTGTGTCCCAATTTCCCCTTTCGATAAGGACACCAATGTTACTGGATTAGGGGTGACCTCATCTTAACTAATTACATCTGCAACCAGCTTATTTCCAAACAAGATCACATTCGGAGGCCCTGGGGATTAGAACTCAATCTATGTATTTTGAAGGCCACAGTTCAACCCATAAGCTCCCCAACTCCCAGAGGTCCCCAGCTAGTACTGATGACCAGGCACCTGTCATCAGACTGAACGTTGGACAGTTGGTCTGGCCTGGCCGTGGAGGCCAGTGGACACCGCCCACAAGTCTGTGACACCCCTGCCCCCCACCCCACCCCAGCCCACATCTGGAGCAGCACAGGCCCCAGGAAAGGGCGTCACGTGGACCGCGGCTCCCCAAGGACAAGAGGTTGACCTGCTTGTGTGGCCCCCGGTAGGGGTGCAAGTAGTGGTTGCCGCCTCCTGCGGGGCTTCCCTGGGCGGAAGGGGCCTGAGGGCTCCCTCTGATGCTGGCTTCTGCCGAGGCGCCAGCCCAGCTCCCGTCTCTCCCGCCCCAGGAACGCCCCGCCGGCCCTGGCTGCATCGCTGGCCCGCGAAGCCGTTTCCCACCTGCTGCGGACGGACCTCTCCGAGTTCAGGAAGCTGCCCGGGCAGGAGGAGGAGGACGGCGAGGAAGCGGAGGAGGAAAAGGCCCCTGTGACCCGTGAGTTCTCTTTGTCGGGACCCCGGGCTCAGCAGGCAGCCGGCTTCCCAGCCAGACAAGGGACAGGCTGCCGGCGAGCACCAGAGCGGGAGAGGGCAGGGCTCCCCTGGCCGCCAGGCCTTTGCCCTGTGCTGGTGGGAAGGCGGCGTGGCAGCATGTGGCTGTGTTCCTGGGCTCAGGACGGGGCAGGGGCGTAGGATGCGTGGCAGCACGTGGCTGTGTGCCTGGGCTCAGGACGGGGCAGGGGCAGGATGCGTGGCAGCGCGTGGCTGTGTGCCTGGGCTCAGGACGGGGCAGGGGCGTAGGATGCGTGGCAGCACGTGGCTGTGTGCCTGGGCTCAGGACGGGGCGGGGGCGTAGGATGCGTGGCTGTGGGCTCAGGACGGGGTAGGGGGCGTAGGATGCGTGGCTGTGTGCGTGGGCTCAGGACGGGGCAGGGGCAGGATGCAGAGCGAGCGCTCCCAGCCACCGCCGGGCTTCCAAACAGCCGGGGTGAATGGTGTGCGTGTGTGGCCCGTGTTCCAGCGGAGGACACCGAGGTCCCGCTGCTCGGTCACGCTCTGTTCTGCCTCACCGACGTCAGTCACCCTGCAGAGACGTGGGAGCGGGTCCCAGAGGCAGCCTTGATGCCCAGCGGAGAGGAAGTGCCAGAGCTGGGCCCCTGGGCCGGGCTGACTCGGCCCTGCAGTGGAGATGCAGTGGGTTCCCCTGCGAGCGTGGGGAGTCAGCCGCCTCCCGGACAGTGGTCAGCGGGGCGGCCCACGCCAGGCAGTAAGAGGGACCTGACCGAAACCCGCTTTGGCTCAGTGGAGAGCGCGTCGACCTGCAGATTGAAGGGTCCCAGGTTTGAATCCGGTAGAGGGCATGTACCTTGGTTGCGGGCACATCCCCAGTAGGGGGTGTGTGGGAGGCAGCTGATCGATGTTTCTCTCTCATTGATGCTTCTAGCTTCTCCATCCCTCTCCCTTCCTCTCTGTGAAAAATCAATAATTTTTTTTTTTTTTTTTTTTTTAAAGAGGGACCCAAGACAGAGAGTGAGCCTTCTTCTGAAGAGGCGGGGCTCTCACTTTGCATGTCTTCTTTCCTGATCCTCGTCACTCCTGTCTGTCACATTTCACCCTAGTACCCGCTCGGGTCAGACCAGAACCACAGCAAGCCAGGGCTGCGGGGCCGGGGCCTACGGCGGGCTGCGCAGTGGGCCGGGCTGGGGCCAGCTCGTGGTGGCTCCGGGCTTCCCAGTGATCGGAGCAGCTCCGGCCGCAGGCAGGGCCGGAGCCAGGGGGATGCAGAAGACGGAGTGGGCGCTGGGGCCTCAGCAGATTCTCCTTCCTTTGCCGTTTCCTATCTGACCGTGTTATTGTATTAGTTTTTTAATTGAGATGTAATTGACACATCACACTGTGTGAGTTTAAGGCGTACAGTGTGTTGATTTGGTTCATTTATGCAGTGCTTTCACTAGCACCTCCCTCACATCACTTAGTTACAGGCACACCTCCGAGAGACGGAGGATTCGATTCCAGCCTCCGCTACAGAGCAAGTCATAATCTTTTTCTGGGGTTGGGGAGTGATCTTGCCTTCGGTTTATTAAAAAAATGCAACGTTTGACAAGCACACAATAACGCAAAGCACAATAAAACAAGGTATGCCTGTATCAGCATGAGAGGGAGCACTGAGGGCAAAGCCAGGATCAGGCCAGGAAAAGAGAGGAAAACAGACAGCCTGTTCTGTCCTGGTGCCCGGCTCTTTTCCCAGGTTCCCTGCCCCCCAGCCATCCCAGCACAACCTCCTCTGGCTCCCACCAGAGGCCTGAGACAGGCAGCCATTGTCTTCTGCAGAGCCTACAGGCCCCGCCTCGCCCGAGTTCCTGCAGGAAGCCAGCGCCACCTGTTGGCGGGGAAGGAGCAGTGCAGCGTCTGACAGAGGCAGAGACCTCCACATGGGGACTCTCGCTCCCATGCAGGCCTGGCGTCCCTGCCTGAATCCGCCCGCCACCCCTAACATGGAAGTGGGCTTGATGAGAGCTATCTGTGGGTGTCAGGAGAGACATCACCCAAGGGCAGAGGAGTGACTGAGACCTCTGTGCCACGGGGTCAGGTGGAGCACCGGCTGCCCCTCCCCAGGGAGCAGTGCCTGTGGGTGCCAGAAAGCAGGCAGACCTGTGAGCAGCCTAAGAGTGTGTGGGCCAGGCGAGCCTCCCCACAGCTTATCATTCTTATCGGTAATTGCCCTTTGCTGGAGCCAAGATTCAAGTTTCAACATGTTGACGAAAACACTAGCGTGACCTAAGGCAAGAGAGTAAACGGTGCTGTGTCTCCCTGGGTGTTTCTGACCTGACACAACCCAGTTCTTGACAGATGCTGAATGGGTGTGGTGGCAGCGGCCAATTCCAGGCACCCCCAATGCGAGGATTTCCTCGGACACGCTTTCCCCTGGCCTCAGCCCTGCTTCTCTCCTTCTGTAGCCACTGCCGTGAGGCACGAGCTGCTGCTCCTCCAGCTCCCCAAACCCTTCGAGTGTGGCCCGTGACGTTCCTGAGTCTGCCCCGCCCCCAGTGGCTTGCCCTGGGGCCGCTGCCCTCGAAGGTGTGCCTGCCTCCAGCCCCTGGGCCAGCAGGGGTCTCAGGAGGGGTCTGTGCAGCAGAATGAACTGGGTCTCTGAGGTGAAGCACCTGAGGTTTCCTTTGCACCTGCCCATCGTCCATTTCTTCTTTAGAGCCAGGCTTCGGTAGGACTTGGATTTTTGTTTTAAAATCTATATTGTAGGTGCTGTTACCTGTTGCTGCATAACAATGGCCCAGCATTAGTGACCTCAAACAATAGACATTTATTATCCCACTGGAGGCCTAGTACATGAAATTCGTGCACTGTGTATGGGAGGGTGTCCCTCAGCCCAGCCTGTACCCTCTCCAATCTGGGACCCCTCGGGGGATGTCCGACTGACAGGTTAGGCCCGATCCCTCTCATAGTCCGGGACTGCTGGCTCCCAACCACTCGCCTGCCTGCCTGCCAGCCTGATCACCCCCTAACCACTCCCGTCAGCCTGACTGATGCCTAACTGCTCCCCTGCTGGCCCGATTAGCCCCAATCGCCCTCCCCTGCCAACCTGGTCACCTCTAACTGCCCTCTCTCGCAGGCCTGGTCATCCCCAACTGCCCTCCCCTGCCAGCCTGGTCACTCCTAATTGCCCTCCCCTGCATTCCGGTCACCCCTGTCCTCCCCTGCTGGCCCGGTCACCCCCAACTGCCCTCCCCTGTCAGCCTGGTCACCCCCAACTGCCCTCCCCTGCTGGCCTGATCACCCACAATTGCCCTCCCCTGCTGGCTATCTTATGGTGGCCATCTTTGACAATATGGGGGCGGCCATTTTGTGCGATGGCATGAGGGTCAATTTGCATATTACCTCTTTATTGTATAGGATAGTTTCTGAGGGGCTGGAATTTGGGAACAACTGAGCAGGTAGATCTTGCCCAGGATCTCTCATGAGGTCGGACGAAGGCCAGTGCGGGCAGAGGCTCTGCTTCCAAGATGGTTCAATCACACGGCTGTTGCCAGGAAGTCTCAGTTCCACGCCATGTGGACTCCCCACAGGGCTGTGTGAGCATCCTTGCGACATGGCAGTGATTCACAGGGAGACAGAGGAAGAGAGGGTGCCGGTGGGAAGGACCGGGCACCCGGGGTGAAGCTGCAGTGCCTCTTAGGACCTGGGATCTGAGGCCACCCACGCTCACTTTGCTTTTATCACCTTCATCGGAAGCAGGTCACTCAGTTACATGCTCAGCGGGAGGAATTGAGCTCCCCCCGCTCTTGAAGGGAGTCGTGTCGAAGCATTTATAGCTGTATTTTAAAGCCAACACCTGGGGCTAACACCTGTGAGATAAATTGGGAAAGCACTGAAAAGGTGTACATAAGGAAAAATCGCCCATAAACCAGCCCCGTAGCGAGCCTCCGCCGGCTGTGGCTGTGCCCTCCCTGCCTTGTATTTCTGGGCGCCGGCGGTAGGAGGCTTTCACAGACTCGATATGGAACTTTCTATCCTCTTTCTTCACAACATTTTCTTTAATATCAGTGTTTCTTTCTGAGTGTCATGATGTAAGCATTTTACGTGCTTACAAACTCTGTAAAAGTCCATTTTTGTTTTCCCCTTTATTTTTTTATTTTATTTTTTTAATATACAATATTTTATTGATTTTTTATAGAGAGGAAGGGAGAGAGATAGAGAGCTAGAAATGTCGATGAGACAGAAACATCGACCAGTTGCCTCTTGTACAACCCCCACCGGGGATGCGACCGCAACCAAGGTACATGCCCTTGACCGGAATCGAACCCAGGACCTTTCAGTCCACAGGCCGACACTCTACCCCTGAGCCAAACCAGTTTCGGCTGTTTTCCCCTTTAGTTTGCTTTTTTAAATTAAACTTTATTTGAGAGAACCCTAGCCTCACATGCAGTTATAGGAAATAACACATGGGGATCTCAGGCATCCTTTACCCAGTTCCTTCCAATGGTAACGTCTTTACAAAACTCCTGAAATATCATGGCCAGGATCCTGACGTAGTCAAGATCCTGGACAGTTTCATCCCACAAAACTCCCTCAAGTTCTAATGTATGCCACCCTAACACTCCCCCACCCCCACCCACACCCACACACACCCTGACAACCACTAATGGCCTCTATTCTATAACTTTGTCATTTCAAGAATGCATATAAGTGGAACCACACAGTATATAACTTCTGAGGATTGGCTCTTCTCATTCAGCATGATTCCCTGGAGATTCATCCGGGTATCTGTGTGTGCCAGTACCTCCCCCCCTTCCTCCTGCCGAGCGGTCTTCCGTGGCAGGCGGCACCCACGTTTGTGTAGCTGTCCACGCACGGAAGGACACCCACGCCGAATCGGGTTCCACCCGTCACACGTGAAGCTGCTGTGAGCAGCGAGCAATCGGGCGCACTGTTGCGTGTGAGCATCGTCTTAATTTCTCTGGGATGAATGCCCAGGGGTGCAGTTGCTGGGTCAATGGCAATTACATGCTAATTTGCAAAAATAATTTTTAATAGCAGCTTAATTCACAGAGAACAGACCAGAATTTACTCCGTCATGAATATATATTGTTTCTAATTAGTGCAGAATTATACAGTGATCCCGTGCCCTGTTCTTAAGTCACCTGCACTGCTGGCTATCTCTCTGGGTGGCGGTGTTCCGTGAGAGGACGTGTCCCACCGGGGGGCCGGGCCAGACACGTCCCGCTGCTGATGACACAGGTTGTCTGTCACACGTTGTTTGTCAGGCCGTGCGCCCCGGGGGAGACGGGCTGGGCCGGCCTGTGGTGGGGCTGTCTGGAGAGCTCAGAGACCGCAGGAAGGGGTGAGGCAGGGAGAGCGAGCAGAGCGCTGCCGGGCCTGCGCTGGTGCTTCCTGACCGCCCTCCGTCTTACCCGTCAGTGCTGGATGCCAAGGGCCTGGCGCTGAGCTGCTTCAACCGGCTCTGGGACGTCTGCAGCCAGTGGCAGAAGCAGGTGCCCCCGGCTGCCCGGGCTCCGCAGCGGCAGCGGCTGGTCTCCGTCCACGCCGTCCGGAACACTCGCCGCAGGATGGAGGACCGGCACGTGTGCCTTCCTGCCTTCAACCAGCTCTTCGGCCTGACCGTGAGCGCCCCCCCGCCGGGCCCCGCCGCCCGGCCGCCCTGGCCCCGGGGCGGCCCCAGAGGCCGTGTCCCGGCTCAGGACAGGGCGGCCTGGGCGGGCGCGCACAGGGGCAGAGGGCGGGATACCACTCCGGGTGCCATAGACCTTCCCACCAGGGCCGAGGCAGGAGTGATGCCTACAGCTTCCGTCTGCAGGCCGAGGTGCTGGACATCTCTCAGAGCCCCTCCAGGCAGCACCTGACCCCTCCAGTCGGCGCCCGACCCCTCCAGTCGGCACCGGACCCCTCCAGCCGGCCCCCAACCCTTCCAGGCAGCACCCGACCCCTCCAGGCAGCACCCAACCCCTCCAGGCGGCGCCCGACCCCTCCAGCCGGCCCCCAACCCCTCCAGCCGGCGCCGGACCCCTCCAGCCGGCGCCGGACCCCTCCAGCCGGCGCCCGACCCCTCCAGCCGGCGCCGGACCCCTCCGGCCAGCGCCCGATGAGAGCCGTTGGCTGGGTCACAGCCTCGGCCAGGCACGAGGTCAGCAGGGCGGTAACTCCCGCTGCATTCCCAACCAGGACCCCGTGGATCGCGCCTACTTTGCGGTGTTTGACGGCCACGGTGGAGTGGATGCCGCGAGATACGCCGCCGTGCACGTCCATGCCAACGCCGCCCGCCAGCCGGAGCTGCCCACGCGCCCCGCAGGCGCCCTGAGGGAGGCTTTCCGGCGCACCGACGAGATGTTCCTCTGGAAGGCCAAGCGAGAGGTGAGGACAGGCGGCGGTCCTGGGCAGTGGGGCCGGTGGCCATTAGCACGGAGAGGCCCAGCCCTGCCGAGGGATAGGAACTTAGTGCTGGAAGGCTCTTGACTCATTTCGTTCTTACAACCAACGGGGCTTGTTTTTCGTTTGAACAGAAGCCACAGAAAGCTTGCCGCTTGCCGCTGGTGCAGCCTGGCCCTGCTGCCGCGTGGACCTGCCCCACTGCAGCTGGTGTGCAGACTCAGGATCTTGTTTTCTTTTACTTATTTATTTTTATAATCCTCACCTGAGGATATTTTTTCTAAAGAAATTTAAAAAAATATATACTTTATTGATTTTGTACAGAGAAGAAGGGAGAGAGATAGAGATAGTTAGAAACATCGATGAGAGTCACTGATCAGCTGCCTCTTGCACACCCCCTACTGGGGATGTGCCCACAACCAAGGTACATGCCCTTGACCGGAATCAAACCCGGGACCTTTCAGTCCCCAAGCCGACGCTCTATCCATTGAGCCAAACTGGTTTCGGCTCTAAAGAGTTTTTTAGAGAGAGTGCAAGGAAGGGGGAGAGGCAGGCAGAGAGAGAGGAAAACATCTCCCTGGGAGAGACACTTTGATTGGTTGCCTCCCACACATGCCCCAAGCAACCGGGACCAGGGATTAAACCTTCAACTGAGGTACTTCCCTTGGCTGTGCCCTTGATCGAATCTAACCTGCAACCCTTCAGTCCATGGGCCAATGCTCCAATCACTGAACCAAACCGGCGAGGGCCCAGGGTTTTGTTTTAATCAAGCATGGTAAAATGACGGAGACGTTCGCCCTGAAAGAAGAGTATTCCTTAGAGGAGTTGGTCACTTACAGTTCCCACGAGGATGCACCGGCCACAGGGTGCCACGTGAGAAGCACCACGTGGGCCAGGAAGCAGGGGGAGAGAGGAAAGCCTGGCTGTGGCCTCTGCAGGAAGCATGGGTGAGGCAGGGCCAGCCAGTCACAGCAAGCTCTGGACCGGACAGTTGGAACCCCTCTACAGGCCCTGGGCTGCAGGTGCAGTCCCGGCTGTCGGAGCCAGCGAAACATTGGCTCAGCATGAGAGGCAGAGCAAGTGGTTGGAGACATGGGCTCCTGACCCGCTGGCTTGTGCATGAAAGGGTCTCTCGGGGGAGACGTTTGGTATCTTTAGGAATTAGCTGGCCCAGGGGAGTGGGGCATTCTCCCGAGGATTAGCAAGGCCAACACAAATGATCATAAAATACAGAAAACAAAATCATCATAAAATATAAATCATAAAATACAGAAAACAACCTGGCCAGTGTGGCTCAGTGGTTGAGCATTGATCTGTGAACCAAGAGGTCAGGATTCGATTCCTGTTCAAGGCACCTACCTGGGTTGGTGGGCTTGATCCCCAGTGTGGGGTGTGCACGGAGGCAGCCGATCAATGATTCTCATCATCGGTGCTTCTTTCTATCTCCCTCTCCCTTCCTCTCTGAAATCAATAAAAACATACTTAAGAAAAATAAAATACAGGAAACAAAACTCATGATTGACATGCAGCCACACTTCCCCTGGCTCTCCTAGTCCTGGGCAGGGTCTCAGGAGGAGCTGGTGTCTTGCTGGGAATGCTCTTTCCTCGGGAGTGAGAGCCACACAGGGATGGGACGTCTGGTTCTGAAAGAAGAGAGAACCTGTCCTCCCCTCAACCCAGCGCTGAACCTCACCTGCATTCTCGTCAGCTGGCTCTCCTGCAGCCTGTGGGGTCGGTACAAAGATGTGTCCATTTTGGACCTCGGGAAACTGAGGCCCGGTGGACCTTCCCCAGTTGGCACAGCGGGTGAGGAGATTGGGGGGGCGGGGGGGCTGCACCATCACCAGACGCTCTAAGCACAGAACAGGAATATCACAGTGCCATCCTGCATCGGCAGCCCTTTCCTCTCTCTGAGCCCTCCGCCAGCGGTTCTTCCGTCTGGAGTGAGAGTGCCTGCAGGGCAGGTGCCTGTCCCCGCTCACCTGCTCGGCATCTCTTCCCACAGCGACTGCAGAGTGGAACCACGGGCGTGTGTGCACTCATCGCGGGAAAGACCCTGCACATCGCCTGGCTGGGGGACTCGCAGGTCATCCTGGTGCAGCAGGGACAGGTGGTGAAGATGATGGAGCCACATAAACCCGAGCGACAGGTGAGGGGCTCCCTCCCCCCACGCCCTGGGACGTCCCTGGCCTCACTGTGCTGGGCCTGTCAGGGAAGCAGATGGCCAGGGAGCCCTGGCCAGGCATTGCTGGGACAGATATAGTAAAGGAGACCTTGGGCCCTCACCGGATTGGCTCAGTGGATAGAACGTTGGCCTGTGGACTGAAAGGTCCCAGGTTCGATTCCGGTCAAGGGCATGTACCTTGGTTGCGGGCACATACCCAGTAGTGGGGTGCTGGAGGCAGCTGATCGATGTTTCTCTCTCGTTGATGTTCCTTTCTTTTTCTTTTCTTTTTTTAATTTTAAATATATCCTATTGATTTTTTACAGAGAGGAAGGGAGAGGGATAGAGAGAGAAACATCAATCATCTGCCTTCTGCACGCCCCCTACTGGGGATGTGCCCATAACCAAGGTATTATACAAGCCCTTGACCAGAATCGAACCCCGGACCCTTCAGTCCACAGGCCAATGCTCTTATCCACTTAGCCAAACGGTTTTGGCTCATTGATGTTTCTAACTCTATCCCTCTCCCTTCCTCTCTGTAAAAAAATCAATAAAAAACATATTTTTAAAAAGGGACCTCGGGCCATCTTCCCAGGAAACCCTTGGCGCTCCTCCCCAGGGAAAGCTCCCCTGTCTGACTGCAGTGCCCAGGGGTCCCCTAAAGCTTGGGTCATGGACAAGCCAGTGTCACAGCCACACGGAGCCCAGAGCTGCAGGGCAGAGCTGAGCTATGTGCCCAGAGGCAGCCGGGCAGTGGGGTCCGTGTGCAGTGTCTCTCATGCACGCAGACCAGCAGCGGCTCCCCTGGGCTCTGGGGACGAGGGCAGGAGGAGGCGATGCCAGGCTGGGAGGAACCAGGCTTGGGGCTTCCTTAGGCAGAAGCTACGCTGCAACCCTGAGGTCACTCACCCACCCGAGCTTCCGGGTTTCCATCTGGAAGCAAGGATGACTATTCCTGCTCAGACCATGCCTCACAGAAGTGTCCGCTCTGTCTTCTGAGGCCGAGAGCGAGAGTTTGCATCTCTGGGGGGTGCCTCAGGCCCCACATGCTGCTCTGCACTGGCTTTTCCACCTACTCATGTCAGTACATACACATGGGGTGCCCCCACCCTCTCCCAGGGCCGGTGGAGTCCCATTCATGTCCATCCGTCCTCGATGGACATGGGTGTGTTTTTTTGTTTTTCCCCCCCAGTCTATTTGGGACTAGAAACAGGCAGCTGAGTACTGCATTTCCGTGTTCAGGGTCAGGTACATCTGAAGGGCACGTCCCCAGAAGCGCAGTCGCTGGGTCAGAGTGCACAGGTTTGCAGGCTGCCCCCTCGGGCAGTCTGAGAGGTGAGAGGCCTCCGCTCAGGGTGCATTTCTGTTATGGAACCAGCTCCGGCGTCTTTCCGAGGCTGAGGATCGTTTCCGTCACCTTTCCTGAGAACGCGCGCGGTTCCTGCCTTTTGCCTATTTTTGTGCTGAACTGTTGCTATTTTTCTTATTGATCTGCAGGCACCTTACATGCTTTAGGGAGGTTGGCTCCCTGTCTGTGCAGCGACTTGCAAATTCTTTTGTCCTTCTTTTCGGGCTTTTCCGTGTGTAAGTGTCAGTTTTATGTAATTGTGTGGAACTGTCTTTTCTTTTGTGGCTTTTAGAAAGCATTGCATAACAGCCAGGAATGACAGCGTTCCTTAGCCTCACAGCCTGTGCTCAGCTGCCTACATATGCCCTCCCCGTTGTACAGAGGGAACTGAAGCTCAGAGAGGTTAAGTAACTTGCCCAAAGCGCACAGCCAAGAAAGGGCAGGCATTCTCTTGTCACTCCGGAGCCTCCAAAGTCTGCTCTCCGGTGGACCCTCCTACCCAGACAAGCAGCCAGGTGACATGAGGCCCAAGTTAGGTCTAGATACAAACCTGTGCTTGAGGTCCCGGTTCTGCACCCACGTAAGCTCAGTGGTTAGCACCTCCTCTGAGCCCCTGCGCACTTTTTGCAGGCAGCATTTCCCAAACACTGCCTGAGCTCAGCAGAGCGGACCATGCAAAGAACAAGGACAGATGTCCATGCTTGGGCCTGGCTCCACCCCTTCCAAGCCTCAGGCTCATCATCAAAGAGCAGACACTGGTGTCACCACCTTCAGGCCATAGGCTCAGGTCTGGAAGCCTCCTTCCAGGGGAATGGACAGAACTAAAGACGTTTTAGGACTCACGGCTGGACCGGGCCTGTCTGTCCTCTCTGGTCTGGAGCACCGCAGTCCTCTGGGGAGCCGGACAGGGCCTGTGGGTGGAGGAGAAGGATGAGGACCCAGGGCCACAGGGCTTTCCAGGGCCCGGCTCAGGTTTCACCCAGCCCTGCCAAATGGCCGCCTGTCACACACGCTTGGTGTCCTCCCAGCGGCTTACGGGGAAGGGACAGTGTCCTGGCGGAGGGGCCTGCCGTCTGACCCTGCGGCTCGCGCGCTTTCTGTCGCCTCGGGAGCATCTCCCTGGCTCGGGGACAGGCTGTGGGTCGGTGGCTGTGAGTGGCCCGTCCGTATTTGCACCACAACCTATTTAGCCATTTCTGCACCTGGAGGACGATGAGGTATTTATAATTCCTCACTGTGTTACCGATGCCTCCTGGGGGCATCTTTGAGGAGCTGTGGCTCCCAGCGCTGCCTTAGAAACCAGCCCAGCTCCTCCTGGCTGGCAGTGCCCGCTGCCCTGCCCGCGGGAGCGCCGAGGCCCCACTCTGGCTGTCTTCCGCAGGACGAGAAGGAGCGCATCGAAGCGCTGGGCGGCTTCGTGTCGTACATGGACTGCTGGCGGGTCAACGGGACCCTGGCCGTCTCCAGGGCCATCGGTAAGGAGACAAGGGGGGAGACCGAGGCTGCCGGGGGCCAGGCCTCGGGGCCCAGCTGCTGGGCACGGCAGTGTCATGTGCTGGAAAGGTGCCTGCCTTTAGTAAGGCTGATTGGAGAGTGGCTGTCAGACACCTTGCACGGAGAACTGCGGTTCAAGTTACTCTTTGTCATTATCTCTTCGTTAAAACACTTTCCTCAGAAAGATCGAGGCCCCGCTCCCCTTGGTTAGCGGGGTGATAAGTATTAAATGTTCCCTAAGTGAGATGTATCCCCCTCCCCCCCATTCCTGCCGATGATTCTTTTTTCTGTCTTAAAATCTGAAGAAGTACAAGCTTCCCCGCCCACCTCATTCTGTTTTCTCAGCAGCCTGTCTCTGCCGGGCCTCCCTCCGGGCTCGGCAGCCATGTCCCCTCTTCAGATTCCTGCTGACTAACCCCTCGCTGGTTCACCTGTCCCTCCGGCCGCCCGAGCGCCCCCTCTTGCCAAGCGCGTTGCCTTCTATGTAGCCCTCCTCCCTTGTGGCTTCTGCCCGAGCGTCTCTGGACACACGAGGGCAGGGAGGCAGGGCAGGCCTCCGTGGCAGCCGAGGGGCCAGGCTCCCGCCCCAGGAGAGGGGAGCTGGGCCTAAGGGATGACGGGGTCAGTCCATGCTCCTTGGGCAAAGGAGGCAGCCCAGTGAGACTGTCAGAGCAGGAGAGGGGCCGGCAGGAAGCCCTGAGGGGGGCTGGGAGGGTGTGAGCTGTCCCAACCAGGGGGGCCGGGGGCGGGGGGCTGGAGCCGCGTTTTGGAGGTAAAGCCAGTAGGACCCGCTAACAGATTAGACGTGGGGTGTGCGAATCAGAGGGGACCCTCGAATTCCGGTGCTGTTTTCCACGCTGAGGAGACGGGAAGAGCAGGTGTGGGGGAGGAAGAGCAAGCTCAGCCGAGTGCCTGTCCGGTGTCTGACGGGAGCCGTCCGGAGCTCAGGAGGGCCAGGGCACTCCTTCTGGGCCCTGCCCCCGGAGTGACAGCTGTGCTGGAGCTGAGCTCCAGCTCTTCCCTCAGGAACACCGGAATAACCTGCTACATCCCCTCCATCGGAACTTACCTTTTCACCCCCGGCCTTGCCTGTGAGCGGGCATTGGAGGAGGGGAGGCCACAGCGGCAGGCCTGGCCGGATGGACAGCTTCTGACTCCAGCACTTCTCTCCCACGCCAGGGGATGTCTTCCAGAAGCCCTATGTGTCCGGAGAGGCCGACGTGGCCTCCCGGGAGCTGACCGGCTCCGAGGACTACCTGCTGCTGGCTTGTGACGGCTTCTTTGACGTGGTCTCCCCCCAGGAGGTGGCCAGCCTGGTGCACAGCCACCTGGCCAGGCAGCAGGGCAGCGGGCTGCATGTCGCCGAGGAGCTGGTGGCTGAGGCCAGGGAGCGGGGCTCCCGCGACAACATCACGGTCATGGTGGTCTTCCTCAGGGACCCCCGAGACCTGCTGGAGGGGTGAGCCCAGGGGGCCGGGGAGTCCCAGGCTGACGGGAGCAGCCAGGACGTGCCCTCTGCCCTCTCGGAGCCAGAGAACAACACCCCGTGGAGAAGCTAGGAGGCCCAGGGCCCTGGTGGTCCCCCCCTCTGACCCTTCCCCTCCGGTGCCCAAGGACCCAATAGGCAGGGGTGGGCAGGCGGCACCACCCAAGCAGTGCTTTTCCCTGGGACCCCTGAGCCCCGTGCTGCTTGCATCGGTCCCTCCTGATGGCTGTGGGACCGATTGCCTCGCGCCTTGCTCATGACAGGCAGTGGGACGGAGGAATCCTTGCCAAAGAGATGATGACCTGGGACTGGATTGGCTCTTGATCCCCACGGGGTGGGGGTGGGACCAGAGGCCACGGTCGCTGGCTGTGGCCGGACCAAAGACACCGCATGTGGGGGCAGTGGCGCGCTGTGGGGGACCTAGAGCCGTGGGTATTTGCAGACACGTCCTGGGCGCCCAGCGCAGGTTTTCTCCCTCCGTTCCTTGTAGGCCACAGCTGGGAGGGTTCATGTCGGCACACGCACCTGGCTGCACTCAGCTGGCCGAGCTCGCTTCCCCAACGGGAGAGGGTCTAGGATTGCTTCTGCAGTGGCTGCCTGCCCGCCTGCGTCAAGGCAGCTGGGACATGCGGGGCCCCGGCCTCACTGGTCCCGCTCCTCCCTCGGAGGGGAAGGGGAAGCTCAGAGATGCTGCACTTGTCTTGTGTGTTGTTGTTGTTTTCCAGAGAAAAGCCTAATTTAGAAGCAGTATTTCGGTTTTTCTCGCTGTTCTGTCAGTGCCAAAGTGACCTGTTGTGTCAAATATCCTAAGCGGAGCTTAGCATTTATTTTAATCCTTAGAAACTTACGTATTGGTTGTTGTTTTTTTTGTTTTTGTTTTTTTAGGGGAAACTTCTTTTGCAGTATTACTGAATTTTTTTCTTAAATCAAGATTGAAATAAAAACCATTCCAGGTAGTGTTAATAAGCCATTCAAGTGCCTTACACCGTTTAAGGGAAGGCTAGATGAGTTCGAGAAGGCGTGTTTGAGTTTCCACGAGGATTGACTTTGTTACAGAGGGTGGTTCAGTCCGGAATTCTCCCAGAAGAGTTCTCTCTGCCTCGCCGAGGTGTGCCGCTGAGAGGCAGCAAGGTGGTTCCCAAGAGCCTGGGCTGTTCGGCGGGGCCCGGGCCGGACTCGGGGCCCGGGAGCCAGCCCGATCCCCACCTTCCTTGGTTGTGCCACTTGGCATCTGGCCGGACCCTAAGCTGAGGGCCTGAGCTCCGTGAGCGGGCAGGCACGCCCTTGCTGCTGTTTGGAATGTTCCAGAATGTCTTTCTTGTGTGTTGGTAGTTGGCTTGGTCTCATTTGGAAACACATTCTCGGAGGCTCTGGCAAGTCTGGTGTAGCCTGTGGGTCTGTGTGAAGGCGGCAGGCATGTGGCTGGGAGTCTGTCCCACCCGCCCGACGGATGCCCCTCTTCCTGCCAAGAGCTGGCAGCCTCTGCTGCCCTCACTGCCTGTGGGAGGGCTCGTCTGGCCCCCGGAGGCCCTGGGGAGGTGAAGCTCAGGTGACTTTGTTTGCTCACGTCACGTGGGCGCTACAGCTGCTGTGAGGATGGAGGTGGCAGGGCTGGGCGAGGGCTCCAGGCAGAGGTCAGGCCTGGGGGAGACGGGTGTCCAGTGGGAGGACCTGGCTTGCAGGGTGGGCAGGGCTGCTGCAGGCAGAGGCTGGCAAGTCTGGGAAGGGCAGTGAGTTGCTTAGCTGAGGCTTCAACGGAAGGTGGCCAGGGGGCTGGGCTGTGGGAGGAAGCTTGGTGCCGGGTCCCCAAGGCCAGGAGTCCTGTAGAGGCATTCTGAGGCCCCCCCGCCCCCACAGCTGCAGAGCCCCAGGAGGCTCTGCCTGGGGAGCCCCCTGGTCCCAGAGCACTGAGCGGAGGCCCGGGGAAGTGGCGGGGATGATGAGAGGATGTTGCAGGGAGAGGCTGATGGTCCATCCAACAGGTAGGGAAGGAGCCAGGGGGGATGAAGATGTTGAGCCACAAAGTCAGCGCCTTGCTCAGGGCCTCATGATAAAAAGCATCTTAAACGTGATCGCTGCAATTCAGAGAATGTTTGGCAGCCAACGTGACCATGTGTTACCCCATTTAACTTGATGGCCCGCTGCCTTCTGGGGGCCAGCCCGAGGCTGGCAGGCTGGATGTGGCCCCACCCTTCCCTACCAGCCTGGCCTCCTGAGGGCATGACCTTCATGGAGGGAGGGAGCAATGGGCTTGTTTTTCTCATCTTTGCTCATCCTACTCCGTTGATTGCTGCCAAGAGAGGAGCTTCATGCGTGGAGTCTGGATTCCACACTTGGTGGCCTGATTTGTGCCCTGATCTGAGGCTCCACCAGGACATTAACTCCAGGCTTGTCCTGGCACCTCTCCGATCCGAGCCAGACTGTTGGAATCCACCCCCTCAGCCCCAGCAGAGGCCCTGAGCCAGGCATCGCTGTCTGTGTGGCTGTTAGTCCGGGGAGTCCTCTTACCCTGCTGCCCAGGGGCTGGCCTGTGCAAGCGCCTAGGCACAGAGCAGGTCTTTTCCATCCTGACGGGGCTGCACTGGGAGCCACTGGGCATCTTCAGCCACCGAGCATCCCGGTCCACTTCCTCTTCAGGACACAGTCCCACGAGGGTCCCCGGCTGAGACACTGGTCTGAAAACCGTGGTCCCCTCTTCAAGTCCCAGCTTTGCCACTAGCTTATTGCTTATGCAAGCCGAGCAGGTCGTTGCATTTCCCTGGGACTCAGTTTCCCCTTTGTAGGGCACAGGGTTGCACAGAGTCTGCAGCAGCTGCGGGAATTGTGATGTGGAGGTGCAGGGGGTACTTGGGTGAATGCTGCCAGCGCCGAGGGCCCTTCCCCCAGCACCAGCAGGGAGGGGGTGAATAAGTTCTACTAGTGTCTATTCTTAAAATGAAGTGGGTTGGAAAAGAATTGAGCTACCCATGCCAGCGCCTTATAAGGAATACAAAAGCTGGAGCGTTCCAGCCTTGCTTTTACAGGTAGAGCTGATTGGGAGCCAGCAGGGGTGGGAGAGGCAAGCAGCTGAGGGGGAGGGGGGCTGGAGGAGAGGCAGGACAGTTGGGCTCCCCAGAGCGGCCGGTCAAACTCCCGACCCGCTGAAATCCTAGGGCGACTGCCCAGCCGGTGCTCAGCATCCAGGGCCTGGAAATGGGGGTGTTTTAGGGAGAGAGCAACGGGGTGCTCGCTGAGGTACCCCGTCGGCTGTTGGCCGCCCCCTGCCTTTGGCCATGGCCCTGTCTCCTGTCCTCCCCGGCCCACACGCAGCCCCTGGCCTCGCCCCCTCCCCCAGCTACCTCAGCAGTATTCCGGGGCCAGGGCACAGTTCCGACGGCTCCTCGGCCTGGCTCCCGCGCCAGCTACACGGAAACTGGGTGGGTTTGTGCATAATGAGCCATTGGGTTTGATTCTGCCTGTAGCCCAAAGGGGCAGCTGCCTGGGGGCCTTTTCCAAGGCTCCACAACTTTGCCAAATTCGCTGAGCTTTGCCATTCATGTGCTGTGCCAGCCTTGCCAAGGATTTATCTGTGCACATTTGAGTGAGGTTCTGTGGCGGAGGGAGGGATCTCTGTTTGCCCTGACCTGACTGTAGGGACAAGCCCAGGTGGGAGTCCAGAAAGGCCGTCTCCTCTCCCAGGGCTGTTGTGCTCAAGTGTCAATAAACCACGAGTCTGAAACCTGCGTCGAGTCCTGAATTCTGCCTTCTCCCACCTCTGAATTCCTGGTTCCCCTAGGAGTCCGGGGTGTTCGTAAGCTCCTGGGGTGAATGGGGCCCATCTACAAGTCTCCTTGCAAGGGGAGCAGTTGGATTCTGGAGGCAGCCCTACCTCTGCAGCTATCCTGCCCGGCCTGTTCACACCCCTGGGCTCCCAGCCCACCCTCGCCAGCAGCAGGAAGTCTCATTCACTGTGGGCCTGTGCAGGGGCGGCAGGAGAGATGGAGGCCTCTGGGGAGCCCGCAGGAGTCCTTGGTGTCCCTGGGCCACAGGGGATGGACACGCTGCCTGCACAACACCCACCCGGGAGATAGGTGGTTCTTCCTAGAGCTCCCGGCTGAATTCAGACCCCTAGGGAACATGGTCCGCATCCAAAACACTCCCTGCAGAAGCTGCCGAGCCGGGGCCCCGAATGCTGCCCGAGCTTCTCCCCAAAACATAGGGTGGGGTAGCTTGTGCCTTCAGGCTGGTTGGGGCCAGCTAGCTGTCAGCCCCAGACACCGAGCCTCTGCCCTCTCCTTGCCTATGGGACCCTCCCCCTTGCCCACTTTCAGGTCTGGTTAGCCTCATTCCCATAGTCCTTCCCCAGTCCCTCCTGAGGGCTTTTAGCCACCCCCTCCTGCTCCAGGCAGCCTGGGCATCAGCCTCCCGCCCTCCAGACCACACTGCAAGGGAGGCAGCATGACCTCTCCATCCTATTTTTTTTTTGGGGGGGGGGGGCGCGGCTGGGGCTTCCAACCAGGCCCTGCCCCTCCCCCAGCCCCACCTACTCACCCATCTGCCTTGTGCCTCCCTCGCCCCCTCCGCCTCCTTCAGAGCTCCCGCAGAATCTGCCAAGCAGATCCTCGGTCTTAAGTATATGCTGTCTTGATTGTTCCCTAATGAGTCGCCTCATGTGTCTGAACCTCATCACTAGAGCCAGATGGTAGTTCCGCACTCCCCCCTCCACCACCGCCACGGAGCCTGGAGCCCAGGAGAGCGATCTCTCTGAGGCCGTTGGCTGGGGGCAGGGGGAGCCTGAAGGACTGGACGCACTGCAAGCAGGGACCAAGTGACCCCTGAGGGGCCAGAACATCAGCCGGGTTCTCTGCCAGCAAGGAGACAAAGCTGCACCAGAGGTCAAGTCTGGACGAGGCTCTGCCAGGCACAGCACAGGGGCCCATGGGGGTGCCAGCGCCCACCACAGACGGGCCCCTCCTCAGACCACTGTGTTAGCATTCTGGCTGTGGCAGGGAGGGTCCTCCTCCTCCTCTTTTACCTCCTTCCTCTTCTCCTCTTCCCTGCCCCCCCCCCACCTCCTTCCTAAAATTATAAAAGCAATACGACAACATGACAAAACTTGGAAAAGAGAGAAAATCAAGATGTGGTTTTGGGTATGGAACAAAATAATCAAATAAGCACGGTAAGTGTTTAGCAATATAGTTTAAAAAAAAAACCTTGGTATTTCCAGTATCCCAACTGATGCCATACATAGTTATTGCAATATTATTGACAATAATCCCTGTGTTTTACCTAATCCCCATGACTATTCTGTAATTACCAATTGGTACTTAAAAAAAAAAAATGTTTTATTGCCGAAACCGGTTTGGCTCAGTGGATAGAGCATCGGCCTGCAAACTGAAAGGTCCCAGGTTCAATTCCAGTCAAGGGCATGTACCTTGGTTGCGGGCACATCCCCAGTAGGGGGTGTGCAAGAGGCAGCTGATCAATGTTTTTCTCTCATCGATGTTTCTGGCTATCTATCTCTTTCCCTTCCTTTCTGTGAAAAATCAATAAAATATATTAAATAAATAAATACACATACTCTTTAAATAAATAAATAAAAAATATGCAGTTCAGTGAGCAGGATTTGGGCACGAATTAGATGTTGGGGTCAGTCAAGAATGAGGTTTAGGAATATGTTTCCTTTTTGGCTCGGGGAGCACGGAAGAGGGAGGGGCTCCTGGGTAAGATCACCAGTGGGCAGGTGAGGAGTTCTGTGGAGATTTGCAATGAAAGGTTGCGCTCTTGAGTTTGGCGATAATGCATGAGACTCGGTTTGGTAAGGACAGAATTAGGGTGAGGCAACTGAGGAGCCTAGGATGCAACTTTTAAGGAGGCGCCTGCTCTCGGATGTAAATGCTGTGCTTACATAACCCTGAGGGCGAATGTTTCCTCAAATGCTGCACCCGAGGCGCCTCCCTGACTTGCCTTATCCTCGTCCTGGCCCAGTTTGAAAACTTCTAACTGGCAAGTGGGAGACACTGACATTCAAGGAATGGGCAGATGAAAGGAATCTAGAAAAGGAGATGAAAAACAGTTGGTGCCAGCAACCAGCCCAGCCTTCAACCTAGCACTAAAGAAATTGTCTTTCTAAGCTTTCTTGATTTTCTAGGGTGTTAACTGCATTCATATTTCCTCCCTGACTAAACCATTAGTTAGAATGCTTGTTAATTTCCCAGTGGCTAGGGATTCTAAAATTTAAGTTTGTATGATTATTTGTTAAATGGTGCTGTTATTAGAGGATTTGGCTTGAATAATAGTTGCTTATTTCAATTTATTAAAACTTTTTGTGGTTCCGTATAGAATACTTCTGTATTTTATATAGGTGTAAAACTCAGCATGTATTTTTATGTCTTTTTTTTTTTTAAGTTTTCACTTTTAAAAAAAAATATTTCATTGATTTTTTTACAGAGAGGAAGGGAGAGGGATAGAGTTAGAAACATCGATCAGCTGCCTCCTGCACACCTCCAACTGGGGATGTGCCCACAACCAAGATACATGCCCTTGACCGGAATCGAACCTGGGACCCTTCAGTCTGCAGGCCGAGGCTCTATCCATTGAGCCAAACTGGTTAGGGCAGTGGTTGGCAAACTCATTAGTCAACAGAACCAAATATCAACAGTATAACAATTGACATTTCTTTTGAGAGCCGAAAACCGACTTCTTAGAACGGGCCACGAAGTTTCAATCACACTGTATGTGTGCACCCACACATGGTATTTTGTGGAAGAGCCACACTCAAGGGGCCAAAGAGTCACATATGGCTTGAGAGTCACAGTTTGCTGACCACTGGTTAGGGCTGTGTCTTTTTAAAAAAACATATTTTATTGATTTTTTTTTTTTTTTTTTTTTTACAGAGAGGAATAGAGAGTTAGAACATCAATGAGAGAGAAACATAGATTAGCCACTTACTGAACACTACCTACCGGGGATGTGCCCAAAACCAAGGAGCATGCCCTTGACCAAAATCGGACCTGGGACTTTTCAGTCCACAGGCCAACGCTCTATCAACTGAGCCAAACCTGTTAGGGCTATTTTTATATCTTATTCATTCTGTTGCTTAACTCATATTTTTGCTTACTTTATCATAGTCTGACAATGGTAATATATTTCACTATAACTGTGTTTAATTAGTTTTATTGTATTTCTAAAGATTTCTGTTTGCTGTTTTATGTTGCTATGTCATTTGGTGCATTTAATTTCACAATGCCTTTCTATTATATGTGTTTTGGGCACATCTTTTTTTTTTTTTTTTAACAACAGTACATCTTCAGAGTTTGCCCTTTGGTCTGTTCTGAGATTTTCATGTTTTTATATAGGAATTTTAGTTATTTACATTTTCTCATTTACACTTGTTACACCTAGTCTAACTTTCCACCATCTAATTTTCTGGTATTTTGATACTGTTTTTATGATTCTGTCATTTCTTTTTTTCCTTTCCTTTTTTCTTCGTTAATCCTCACCTAATGATATTTTTTCCCCCTTGATTTTCAGAGAGAGTGGAAAGGAGGGGGAGAGACAAAAAGAGAGAAACATCAATGTGAGAGAGACACATTGATTGATTGCCTCTCGCATGTATGCACCCCAACTGGGGCCAGGGATTGAGCCTGCAACCCAAGTACTTGCCCCTGACCTTGCAACCTTCAGTCCGAGGTCTGAAACTCTAACCATTGAGCAACTGGCCAGAGCATCATTTCTTTTCCATTTATAATGTGAGGAAAGTGACCATGACATATCTTGATTTGCTATATGAATTACATTTTCCTCTTTATATTGTCATAATTTTCAAAGTAGACATAAAACTTTTTATGCCACAAAAAAGCTTTTTACACTGAAAAAAACATATAAATTTATACTTTTAAAATAATTTTTACCTTTATTTTATGTGAAACAAGACCTAGTGTGCCTTGCTTTTTCTACCACCTTTCCCCTCTCTGGTTTTCATTGCATTAATCTGAGGTTAAAAACCCTGCTGAATAAACCCCTCTCCATTCTTTCTTTTGTGTTTTGTTACCATAGCAACAATTATTTCACCCTATCAGCCTCAAACAGTGTATACCGAGTGGTGTTTTTATTTAATTATCTATCTTTAACTCGTTTCAAGGCTCATAGCCAGTTCTTTTCTCTCATTTCATCATTCATGAGGTTCTGATTCATGTCTTGGTGATTTGTTGTACAATTCTGAACAGTTTTTGCAGAAAAGGGAGTGAATTGGATAAAGTACTAGTTGGGAACTAAGTCAAGGTGACTTCAGTAAAAAAAAAAAAAAAAAAAAAGAGAGAGAGAGAGAGAGAGAATGTATTCAGCTGAGCCTGTAAAGTCCAGGCTCAGCTGAATATAGTATTGAACTATGACATCAGAAAATACTGTGCTTTTCCTGTATCACCGTCATTCTACAAGAGCATTTCTCACAACATGGTGTGTTTGGCCCCAGACTCATACTCACTGCCTGAGCTCCCCAGCAGAGAGAACACTCCTTTCCACAACTGTTTCTTTCAAAGTCTGGGCTGAGTGTCATTGTCCTAGATCAGGTCACATGCCCATCCTTTGAACTCATGTCTGTGACTCTGATTGGGGAGCCCTGATCACATGCTTACTCTTGAGCGTGCAGAAGAAACCGTTCACCAGTGGAAAATTGGGTTGTGCTACCAGAGAGAGGAAGAGTCGATGCTGTGCAGGTAAAAATAATAGATGTCCATT